AATATATACAAGTGTTGTCTATTTATTTTATGTAAAATTTTTTCGTATCTTCTGATAAGTTACCAAAGATATAAATCACAAACATATTACGGACACGACAGTGATGATAGTCTGTCATTGTTTACATAAAATAGACAACACTTGTCTATATTATTTAATGAAACGTGTATAAATGAAAATATGCTGCCTAAATACACACAATATATATATATATATATATATATATATATATATATATATATATATATATATATATATATTTAAAAACAAATCATTTTGAAAATGGATAAGAATTGGGCGAAAGCGTTTGGCACAATGGATAATATGGAGAAGTTTTGTACTCCTAAAAAAGGGACGTTTTACGAATGCTAGAAAAAACTCAAAAAATTAATCAAAACTTGATTGTATGTCATATTCAACGAGGCACGTTTGAAAGAAAGGTTTTACCCATATATATATATATATATATATATATATATATATATATATTTATATATATATATATATATGCACGTTAAAGTAACGCGAACTGACAACGTCTAAGAATTTGAATGAAACCTGTCGTGTAATTTATTGGGGTTGTTGTAACGTCTTCCTTTAATGTAGTTCTTATCGTTTACCCCTTAGCCACCTTTATCTGGAGACGAGACGCGTTAAAGTTGAGCAACATCCAGCCGACACACTGGGGTTAAAATAGGAAACTAAAATGATACATATGACACACTCATATCCTCTCTCCCACCTCACTTCCTCACTTCGTTAACTTTGCGTATACTTGATGAGGTCCGTAAAAAACGTGTGAATTTCTTTTCATTTTTCATTTCAGCTTTTGGAAGTAAAGTCTGATGATTCAGAACCCTGTTAAAGGAGTTATGGTGAAATAGCTTATTACATGGAATCTTAACGTGGTCTGTCTTTTATTCATATATATATATATATATATATATATATATATATATAGTACTGGATAGCGGCTCTGATTGAAGAATCGGTGAGCCGAGTTCGAATTCCAGTCGAATCCATTACATTCACTTACGTGCTAATATCCTTGGGAAAAGTGTGAAACCTCTTCTTCTCCCTCCAGCTATGGGTAAATAGCAGGACAGACTGGGTTCTATAGCCTTGGATGGCAACTGGTCTAGGAGAATGACAACTCTGAATTCAAAACCTGCGGAAGATCGTTTGGGGACCCTGTGGCACATAGTGCACCAGGTCTCTTTATTCGGCTCCTCAAAAAGTGTGGTTGGTTCTGCACAAAACCTTTACAACTATAATCAAATCATATGTGCAGGTGTCTGGGCTGTCGGTTCTTAACAACTGAGCTGCTTGACCCTCATACGTTGAATACGACGGGAGTGGCTACCATATACGCACACGCACACACATACACACACTCGCACGCACACACACACATATATATATACAATGCTGCTTGATAAAAGTGACTCACCTGATTTTTTTTTTACTAAATGTTCTCTTCTCCGATGAAACGAAAGTTGAGCTAAATTCAAAGGATAAGCGATCTAAAATCTGAAGAAGAAGCTTTGAAATCTCTTTGAATTTAGCATTAAGTACTGTCAAGCATCCGTTCAGTATAATGTTCTGGGGATGCTTTTCTTTACATGGAACTGGTTTCTTAAAACCTATTGAAAAGACCCTCATGAGCGAGCAGTACAGGAGAATTTTACAGTTCTGTCTGCTCCCTTCTGCTGAAAGGGTGCAAATCGACCCCACCAAGCTCATTTTTATGCAGGATAATGTTCCCTATCACAAATCAAAATTGATGAAGGAATAATTTGATGAGAAGCAGGTGAGTGTTAGAAAACTTATGGAGCATGTTGCTCAACTGCTTTCTCGAGAGTCTGTACTTTATAATGCCCCATATGTTTTCTATGGGGTTGAGGTCAGGAGATTGGGGTGGCCATGTCATAACACTCAACTGCTTCTCATCAATAGACGGATTATATATAAGGGTGTTTCATTAAGAAGGATCAAAGTCAACAGTAAATAAATCAGTGTCAATGGTGAAAATTTATTTATTTCTCTATTGGATCATGTTATTTAACTCATGGCAATTATGTGTGAAAAATAATATCGCCCAAATATCCGCCAAATCTGAAAGAAAAAAAGAAAAATCATTTGATGCTTAAACTTAATTCACATTTAAAATCGGTTCAAGTTATTGCAACACCCTTTATATTAAATTTTTCAAATTTCCGAATTAGTTATTTTATATTGTCGGCGAATTTATCAAAGTTCATTTTTACCCGAGTATTGTTCTGTATTTGTTTTTAAGAATTGTTTTGTGTCTGCGTCCATCTCTGTTGAAATAACTTTTTTTGTGCGTAATTATAGACAAGTTGTGATAAAGATAGATAGATAGAGAGAGAGAGAGAGATAAACAGAATGAGATAGATAGATGTAAGAATGAGATAGATAGATAGATAGATAGATAGATAGATAGATAGATAGATTCATTCATTAAATAAGATATCAAGTAGATTGATAGATATAAGCAGACTACGTAAGAAAGAAAGAAAGAAGGCTAGGAAACCAGAGAATTAAGTTAGAAAGAAAGCTTAATATCTGTCCTGGCCTGGGAAGGTGGGCGTCTGTTGAGCCAACGTGTTAACCGATGAATACATCGCCTCAGCACTCGTCGTGTACCCCTAATCACTGGAAACAACCAAGCAAACATCTTATTTTACCGGCAAAGTTTCACGCCTAAGCGACAGTCCATTGGCAATGATTTTGGTTCAAATGAATTGTCGATCATTACAACCGGTGCTTAATCAAGATGGACTCGCCGGCCAACATAACTGCAGAATCAACACAGGCATATTTTGTCTTCGCCCGCATAACTGGATTTAAGGACTATAATCCCGCTCTATGCAACATAACATTTAATGTTTCTGGACAAAATAGATAGGTAGTTAGATAGATATGAACAGACTGAAATAGGCAGAGAGAGAAAAAGAGTGAGATAGGGAGGCAAATAGTCAATGTGATTATCAGACATATAACTATTTCGTCAAATACATCTATTGGATGTTTCTAGCCGATTTTCATTAGGGGTTTCAAATCTTTCAACATCATAGCCCATCTCCAAGGTGACCCAGCGGATACTGACCGGATATCGATTTGTGTACCTTCTGTTGGCTACTTTTTTTTCCATCTTCCAAACTACGCACCATACGACACTTCTTGGCAATTTATTGTCCAATCCTGGTTGACTTCCGGTTCACCAATAATGAGCGCTCTTCCATAAAAAAAGGAAGCAAACGCAACCTCAATTTCTAACTGATCAGGAATATGGCGGCGTGCTTGGCACGAGGTATATAGAGAAGATCAAAATCACTTCTGTATGTGGGTCCACTTTTCCAGAGCAAAACGATACACACACACACACACACACACACACACACACACACACACACACACATATATATATATATATATATATATACCGTATATATTGTGCTGGTGTTAATAAAATAGTACTCCAAGTAATATAACAGAGCTATTAAGTATATATTAATGAATATACATGTTATCCCTCACCGGTAGCACGACTCGGAGTTTCATGCACAACGCAATCTTCAGGTGCTGAGTAGAGACTGAACGTTGAGACCGTTACATCATTTAAATTTTAATAAAAATATCTGTTTAACACAATGTTGGCGCAGATATATCTTTTACTTGGATTACAGTTTTTTTTTATTCAAGAAACTTATATTTGGCATTTATATATATATATATCTATAAAAGGCAGGATGTGTGTGTGTGTGTGTGTGTGTGTGTGTGTGTGTGTGTGTGTGTGTGTGTGTGTGTGTGTGTGTGTGTGTGTGTGTGTGTGTAACGAATGTACGGCCGCAATTTTCGACGGATTTGCACCAAAATCTACATTCACATGCTCCAAGTTAGCGGGAAGGCCAAGACCGACTTTGCATTTCCCAATTCCCATCGATACTGGAGTTAATCGATTTTTTTCATGCTTCTACGGCAGTTTTCATGTAGTTTGAGGCCAGTTTCTAATGGCCAGAGTGAGAGCCTATAGCTGGCTGCCACGAATAGGCAGGAAGATTCTATTGGCCAGCGTGAGAGCCAACAGCTGACTGACACGAATGTTAACTAGCATACTAGCATGCAAAAAAATTGATAGCTGCATTCGTCACAAGTAGGAAAAATTTAAATCTGCATGGCACTTTACTCCAATTGGATCATTCGCTTGCTTAAACTCAACGTTGATTGTGATTCCACAGAACTGGGTTGGGTGTGAAAAAGTATTTGTTGTTAACATTCTTTTTTCATTCAGTTTTTCCAGTTACAAGTCCTTTTTTAAAGCTGATCGTTTTGTGTTCATTTTGTTTAGTTCTTTTTTCATAACAGATTTAATGTTTAGTATAGAGCTTAGAAAAAAATCGCAGTGTGAGATAGACAAGAAGTAAGGCATGTAGCAACATCAGCACGGCAAAGGGCACTCCTTTAAACGCAAGGAAGGGCAAAAATATTTTGTGTCAAGTGATAGCGATTGCTGTAGGAGTCGTACGATTTTTTAATCAAGCACGGGCAACGTGCTTGATTCAAAAATTTATCTGTCTGTGTGTGTATGTGTTTGTGTGTGCATGTCTGTCTGTGTGTGTTTTGTTTGTGTATTTATATGTGTGTGGGAAAAGATATTCCAGTCATAAATTAAATCGTAAGCAATATGCCGCTGACACAACAAAGTGGGGTCTCTAATGTCGTCGATCCCCACTTGGGATCTCGACTTTAGTCACTTTCTCACCGACATCACAAAGCTTCCCTCTGTCTTTTCTATAAAGATAAGGACAACTGTCCGATGAAAAAAATGCTCGATAGAGACAACTGCTCGCCGGAAAAATGCTCGATGTTTATATATATATGTAGAATATTTAGATATAATTTCTGTGCAATAGCAGTTTTTCTTCGTGTTACACATTGAAAAATACAACCAATTTTTTGAAGTGGGTGAGATAGAGAGAGAGAGAGAAAGAGAGAAAGGGAGGGGAAGATACAGAGAGAGGGGGAAGAGAGAGAGAGAGAAAGAAAAATTTTGATTCTTCATTTTTGATCTTTACTGGCAATTGTTTATCTTACTAAAAAGTAAATTTCATTAGTTTTAAACTTTTGATATGGTTATCGGCTGGGTATGAGAACTCAGAGAGTCGAGTTCGAATCCCAATCATTAGGTTTACTTACACACAAAGAGAAAAGTATGAATCCATTTCTTCTCCCCACCCCCTGCTATGGGTTAAATAGCAGGGTAGACTGGGTTCTTTAGCCTTGGTTGGCAACCAGTCTACCACAGAAAGAAATGGAAACCTACTGCGGGAAAAATCTTCGGCCTCGTCAGTTACATATCAAAAGATACGTGATCGTCCAAGTGTGTATCATGCGTAACACTTAATTGATTGATATATTCTTTATGATTTTTGTTACAATAATAATAATAATGTTCCAGTAATAATAATACTGTTAACAATAATATAAATAATACAAATAGTGGTAGTAATTATTAAATATTGATTAAGAGAGCAATAATGAAACTAATATGAACAATTATTTTATATTAAACAAACCAACTCTTGCAGACTGACGATATAATTATTCGTTCTCAAAATATCTTGTATCTGACAAATAGTAAACTTCAACCTAGTGCAGGGGCTTCATCTCCATGAGAAAGGGAGATGAAACGGGTAGATATCATCTATAACTTTCCCTTTCGAATAACCGCAAAAATCTCTCTCTCTCTCTCTCTCTCTCTCTCTCTCTCTCTCTCTCTCTCTCTCTCTCTCTCTATATATATATATATATATATATATATACATATATATATATATATATACACAGACATCGGGAATATTTCCGTTGGGTAGTTGACCATTGTAATGACAAAAGTATGCAGGTGAAGGCTTTAAGAAAGCTTTATTCAACAGAGAATACAATGTTCGTGTATAGTGTCCTTTTATCGTCCCAGTAAACAGAAATAGCTCTATCAAATAGGAGAGCAACAAAACAAGGAGAGACTACTCTTGATTATTCATAACATCCCTATCGGGCATTTTTCCGTCATGCAATTTTCCTTATCGGGCAGTTGTCCGTTGGGTTCTTGTCAGTCGAGCAGTTGTCCGTCGGGCAGTTGTCCGTCGGGCAGTTGTCCGTTGGGCAGTTGTCCGTCGGGCAGTTGTCCTAGAACCCTCGTCAGCTGTTTCAAAACAAAGGCTTTTCTCTCGAAACCTCTCCACTTTCTCTGATGTAAAAATAGTCTTTTTACAATGGTTTCTTTTTATTTTCAGACCTAGACAGTTAAAAAAAAAAAATGAAACATAGGACCTTGAGCAGTGATCATAAGTTACTTCTTCGTTATTTTCGCCATAAATTAATCCTAACATCAAATCCCAATGTCATCCAACTGTTTCACTGTTAATTTGATTGGTTATTTATTGAAAACAGTGTAACCTTTTCATTTTTGCTGGTTTCCAAATCCCACGTCGTTTTCTGTTTTATTTCTTTCCTTCTTATTGTTCGTATATTTAACGTTCAAATTAATTCTGAATTCTCCACTTTCAGATCCCGTGAATAGGTCAAGTAAACTTGCTAAAGGCTTAAAATCTCATTTCACAATTAACCGAACAGACATCCTGTGGGCGGAGTGATACAATAAAATGTTTTCGTATCAAGGACTACTTTTTTTTAAATGTCTGTACTTTTTTTTTCTGTTTGCGTTTATACTGAGCTATTCTCACCCTGTACTGATTATTTGGGGATAAAATGTCAAACATCTGGCATTGTATTTCGAGAGCAGGACGTTAATGTCTGATAGCCGGGTTTATTATTGCTCTAGCTGTTGGCTGAAGGCGGAGTCTCCCTTTAATAATAAAAAATTGTTTTGAAAGAGGCAAAGTGTTTCGATGTTTAGTTAGAGAAGGAAATGAAATATTGGGACAAAACCAAAAATAGAAAGAAAATGGTATTTACATGCGGACTATTGTCCTTATCTTTATTATTATTATTATTATCATCATCACTTTTCGGTCGTTCTGCTCTTCCGCCTTCATCAGCTGCTTGTCGAACCGGATAACCTTTTGGAAATATCTAACTGAAAGAAAATTAGGTTTAAGTTCTACACACTACACACGGGATAATAGCTTTGTGGCTTAAAACAATACTTCGCGAATTTGGTAATTTTATTTTTTAATCATTTTACTCCAAGCAAGGCAATGAAGAGGCATGGTGGAGTAATGGTAATAGCGGCTTGGATTGAGGAATCGGAGAGCCGAGTTCGAATTCCAGTCGAATCCATTACATTCACTTACGTGCTAATACCCTTGGGAAAGGTGTAAATCCTCTTCTTCTCCCTCCAGTTATTGGTAAATAGCAGGACAGACTGGGTTCTATAGCCTTGGATGGCAACTGGTTTAAGAGAAGGGCAACTCGGAATTCAAAACCTGCGGAGGGTCGTTTGGAAACCTTGTGGCACGTAGTGCACCAGGTCTCTGTATTCGGCACTTCAAAAAGTGTGGATGGTTCTGCATGAAACCTTCACCACTATAATCAAATCTCATGTGCTATACATGCAGGTTGGGGACCTCTTGTACATTTCAAATGAAACTCCAATATTGGAGCCGGCTCAACCCACCTCGGGGGAATGCCGTTACGAGAACAAGAGAGAACAAGCAAGGCAATCAAGCCACTAAGACGCAAGAGATTACGGAGTGTTAGAGAATATGAGAAAAACTATAGACAAGAGAGAGAGGACAATAAAAGAACAGGAATTAAGTAGACGGAATATAACGATTTACATTGCATTTAAATTGAAAGTCAAAGGCAATAAAGCCACTAGGACGCAAGGGATTACTGAATGCTAGAGAATATGAGAAAAGCTACTATTAAGGAGAGAAGACAATAAAAGAACAAGAATTAAGAAGACAGAAGATAACGATTGATATTACATTTAAATTTTTGAAGGTCAAAGAAGCAAGAAACTGCAAGAGAGTTCCACAAGCAAGAAGTGCGAGAGAAGAAACTGTTAGCTTAGAACTTTCGATTACATCTAATCATTTTAAAATACATTTAAGGTGTTAAGCTGGTCCTTTGTAAACGGATCAAGACTTGTTGGGTTATTTAATCTTTATTAATCTTGTTGGATTATTTAATCTTTATTAATCTTTTTGGGTTATTTAATCTTTATACGGCTGGGAAAGTTTGCACGAACATCCACGCCGAACGGGTACCGCCCCCCAAAAAAAAAGAGAAAATAAATTTTTGGAAGAATAACTTTTATTTTTATTTTCGCTTTAATGATATGACACTCACAAATCCAGTAACCCCTTTAGGTCTAAGGGGCCCCATATCTACTACAGCCATAGCAACAGTGGTATTTCATGGACACAACAGGCTGACGGAGTCCAGTTTTCCTTCTCCTAGACTGGTTGCCATCTGAAGCTATAGAGCTCAATGTGTTCTGCTATCTACTCATAGCTATGAGAAAGAGATGGGTTCATACCAAGGGTATTAGTACGTAAATGTACGTAATGAACTCGACTGGAATTCGAACTCAGCTCTTTGATTTTATAAACCGAGCCTCTATTGTTCCACCATGCCTTAATTATATACAAAATATATGAAAAGGTGTTTAAACTCTTTTAGAATATAAAAATAAAAAAGGAAATAAAACAAACTGTTATAATCCGTGTTAATACGAATATATACTTGACAAACACAGTGGATAAAATAAGTAAAGATTTATTGTAATAGCCAGTACAATAAGAAATAAGGTAGCAGCTCAAGGTTGTCGCAAGTCAATCCAGTCGTGAGTGCTGCTATTGGTAGGTCGGTAGTTCTGATTCTGAGTCGTACTCAACAGATCCCAGTGAGACTCTTGTAGTCCGTTAACTTACAGATACTTATAGGTAGTTACTACCTATAGTGTAATCATTCATGGGGGTAACAGGTTATTCCATTACATCACAAACGTTATTTATTTAATATTTTTTTAACATGCGCAATGGAGTTGCACATTCTTTACACCAAGTTTTCACCATTTTTCTCTTTGCGAATTATGCATGCAAATGTAGCATTATTCTTCCAGATTTATTTGCGTACAAATACTCCAGAAAATAAATAAACCCTAGCAACTTTTTCCGGCTTCTTGCTTTCCACTCAACTTTGATCTTTTAAAAATGAAATACAATGCCAATCGTTATCTTCTGTCTTCTAAATTCCTATTCGTTGATTCTTCTCTTTCCTTATTAATGATTTTCTTTTTCTCATATTCTCTCACACTCAGTAACTACCCTTGCATCTTAGTGGCTTTATTACCTTGCTTGGATAAATGACAACATTTTGTGACATTTCGTAGTATCGCAGTTAGTAAACAATTTGAACGGAGAGAGACCTTAGACTTAATTGTTGCACATCCACCACAAAAGCCAGATTTAGTTCCGGCAGACATTTTGTTACTCAAAGTGATAGAGGCGATAAAAAGTTAGCATTTTTCATCTAGTGCCGAGTTGGATCAAAAGTAAACGAGAAACCTTCTACATAGACGGAATGAAAACGTGGTAAAAAACGGTTTGAGAATGTATATCACAAAATACTGGCTCCGTGGCGTTATTTTTGTATGGGGCATAATACTAACAGTCAACCAGTATGGCCTCGCTAACTCGTACCTGAAAAAGAGACAACCTTTCTTAGGTGTGCTGGTGAACAAGCTAATCTCGCAGACCATTGAAAGTGACATTTTTCTGCCCAAGAACTGTGTCTCTGTGCTCAGTAAATAACGAGAATGTAATGGGGACGGGGGATTTCTTGTCTAAAATGAATAATTAGGAATTTAGGGTCAAAATTTAATTTATTCAAAAACAAGAAGAAATAATTAAAATTTAATTATTCCAAGAACTAGAAAAAAAAATTAAATTCTATTTTTTCATTTCACAATCGACATTACTCAACATTTTGAGCTTACGGCCATATTTCA